CATTACCACTAAACGGAATGAACGATATACATGATAGTAATGGTAATTCACAACATACATTGCTAAGTTGAATTTAAGTAATGATAGCTTATTATTAAATTATGGAATATAATTTTAGATTAATAAGGTTAAAAAAATTGATGGTAGATAATTATTTTCACCATTTATTTTGTTTTTATTTATTGAAAAGTAAGTTTGATTATATTAATCAGATGAACATACAAATAGTTACATTTATTTTTCATCTACTATTAGAATTCATATACTGCCTGGACAAAAACAAATAAATATACATTAGTATATATATGCAAAATTTCATTTCTCTAACATTTCAAATAAAAAAATAAAACTCTGGCCAAAAATTTTTTTTTTCAAAAAAATTGAATTGAATAAATAAGCATCTAATCTTTTTAATAATTACTTGTTTAAATCCTTTAAAAAATTTAAAAATGTTAGCTTTATCTGAAGTTCAACATGGTGAAATCATTTCAAAAACAGCCAAATTTCTTGATATTCATAGTAATAGAACAAAGTATCTCGTACTATTAAAAAAAAATTATTGATGATGAAGGTCTTGCCACAAGGCAGCAAAGCGATCATCACAAATAATCAAAAGTCTGCTGAACAAATTTAATGGAAAACAAATAGTAATGACTATTAGAAGAACATCACATGAATTAAATATTCTTTCGTGTGTTCCAGCAGCAAAGTCACTTTTAAATGACCATTAAAGAACCAACCAATTAAAATGATGCCTTGATGGTTAGAAAATGGAAGCCTGTCATTTGGAGTGATAAAAGTAGATGACAACTCATAAAAGTGATAGACCAGGATGTGCTTGGAGATACCAGGTTTAATAAGACGAGGATACTTATGAATTTGAAATATAGAGTTGATAGAGTATCTGTCCACACACTTGTTGTGAATAGTCGAGAATTTATTTTTTATTTTTTTATTAAATTAGATGACTCTTCCTATTTACGATACAATTTTTATTGCCAATTTATTAATTCGAATTATTATTCCTTTGATACATTTAATTACGAGTCATTTATTTGATTCGAAATTGAGAGTACATTTACAATAATTATCATCATTACATTATACTATCACTATGCAATAAAAATCGTCCGCCAATTAATTTACTACTATTAATATTAATAATAGATTAACCAATATAAAATTTGTTACACCAAGATTGATGGTTAATATTAACCTGCTAACCTCTAGATCTATACAAGTGTCCTTTGACAATGATGCAATTTCGATAAGCTCCTGGGTCATATACCCCCTGAAATTCAGTTGTGTCATTGTGTCATCGGGGAACGCGGGTCAGCTTAGCCTTACGTACATGAGAAAAAGGTGAGAATAATTGTAGCTTTTAAATGTTCAAAGTAGCGTACTTTACCATCTGTAAATTTCTGGTGATATTTATGGGTTGCCCAGAACGGGTTTCCCTCCCATATTCAACAGTTGTATTGCCTTCCTTTACCCTCGACATTCTTATAATTGTTTGTTTAATATTATACTTAATATTAATAATGGTTACAAAAAGCAAATCATTATCTTGTTAAAGAACCTCAAGAAGTGTGTGATTTAACAAATGCAATACAGTCAGACCTTGTCACAAAATACTATAATCAAATTCTTGTCATGACGTATTTTAAATAAAATTTTCTTATATGTCCCGTTCATCCGCTATGACGCGGTTGATTGTAGTAGTCAATATAGCAAAATTTATTGCTATATTTGTTATGTAAATTCGAAATAAAAGTTGGAGATGATATAGAAGATATAAAGTGTGCTGCGAAAAAAAATGGTGGTGATAAAAAAAATTTAATGCGAACCAATTTTCATTTTTGACTTTTCCGATGAACTCCTACCACTCCTCAATCATAAATTGCGTCCGTTCACCAGTATATCATTTTTGCATTCTTTTTCCGCACGTTTTTAACGAGTGTCTTATAACCATAATGATGGAATGTTTCGCCTTCAAGTATTGTACAGCACCTATCAAGAAGTACCAGATGTCCCGAGTACATTAATTATACAAAAAATCATATCGATTTGTAGCTTAAGTTCTGAAGATTATGTGTATAAATTTCATGCCTTTATGTTTTTGGAACCTTGGCAATTAAAAATAAAAGAAATTCGATTATTTTTGAAAAAAAAAAATTCCAAAGCCTACAAAATAATTTCATGATTTTGGTTAGAAATCAATTTTAGAATTCATGCACCATTCTTTTCGTAGACGCTTATAAGGATGATGAGGATAATAATAATAATAATAATAATAATTGAAAAATGGTATCGGAATGCAGTAACAACAACAACAACAACAACAACAACAACAATAATACTTATTAATTT